GCAATCAATTTCAGTGTAGGTGAACGGCCGGCCTCCTGGGCGCACTCGATCTTCTGGCAGGTCGGCTTGGCGTTGATGGGTAGGCCTCCAGTTGCTTCTTCGACAAGTCACACTTCCGTATTGTGCGGTCGAGTAATTTTCAGCACTTAGGTATCCAGTACGTCTCACGTATTATGGAGAGAGTGTGTTCTCGTCCTGAGTGTCCAGCTCTAGTTGAGTGTACCTCTCTCACGATGAGCCCCGTGATCCTGTTGTCCCTTGGTAATAGTATGGGATTCTCCTGGTCTGGGTGGAGAACGGCGTGCTTCAGTCGGCCACCTACTCTGATCAGACCGTCTGTGTCTAGATGAGGTTCCAGCCGCCTTATGTTGCTACCTCTCACGGGTTGTCCCTGTAGTAACATTCCTAGTTCTCGAGGGAATTCTTTCCTTTGCATAAATCTTAAGACAGCTAATTTAGCCTCTTCCAATTCGCTGACCTGGAGCCGATTTTTTCGGTGATGTTTGTTCTTTCGCTTCCCAAGCCGCCATTCTATAAACCTTCTAATCCACGCTACGCTCTTCAGAAGTCGATGCCACGATGAGTACCTGGCCCATAGCTTATCGAGGATACCCTCCCCCTGGTCAACGTTCGCCGTCAGCACCGTGGTTTCCTTCTTCACCTCTGGGTCTCCGTCTGTGAGGTCTGGAATCCTCAATGGACTCTTTGGCCAACTGTCTTCTTCCAAAAAGAGGAAAGCAGGTCCCCGAATCCACCTGCCCTCCTCGTTGAGCTCTGCTCCATGTAATCCACGACTAGCGTCGTCGGTCGGGTTCAGTGCCGACGTCACGTGGCGCCATTGTTCTACATTGGAGTCCTCGTGTATCGTTGCCACTCGATTGGCCACGAAGGACTGGAAGCGTCTTTAGGTGTTTCGTATGTATTGAAGGACTGCCGTACTGTCTGTCCAGAACACTGATCTGTCTATATGTAATTCAAGCTCTTGCCGTAGTTGTTTGTCTGCCTTAGCAGCCAGTACTGCCGCGCAGAGCTCAAGTCGAGGTATGGTCTGCTGTTTCAGAGGGGCTAGCTTGGCTTTGCCACACACGAAGGAGATATGGTGAGTTCCATCTTCACACGTGGTTCTCAGATACGATACAGCTCCATACGCTCGTTGGGAGGCGTCACAGAAGTGATGTAGTTGCACAGTAGTCACTGGATTCATATCCTCTGGTTGGTAGCACCGTGGAACGTGAACTTGTGATAGGTGAGGTAGTTCATGCAGCCATCTTTGCCATGCGACCCTGTTTTGTTCAGTGATTTGTTCATCCCAACCAACACCTCGTCTACACTCATCTTGGAATATGATTTTGGCTCCTATGACACTCGGAGCGATAAGTCCTAGTGGGTCATATATGGAGCTGACCATACTCAGAAGGCCTCTTTTCGTCTCCGGTTTCTTAGGGATCTGGACCCGGACCGCTAGTTCGTCCTTTTCCAGATCCCACAAGATTCCCAACGCTCGTTCAGTGGGGAGCCTGTCATCTTTCAAAATTACTTCCTTTACTCCCACAGCTTTCTCTGTCTGTGGAATTGCCTTGAGGACCTCCTTGTGATTACAGACCCACTTCATAAGTCTGAATCCGCCCCTTTTCATCAGCTGTCTCAGGCGATGGGTAATTATCGTTGCCTTTCCCGGCGAATCTACTGAGAGAAGCAAATCGTCGACGTAGAAGTTACGATTCGCTTTCTTGATGTCGTCATGGAGACTTTCCCCGTAATTTTGGAATGTTTCTTGTAGCGCATACCCGGCGCATGAAGGACTCCACACTCCTCCAAAGAGATGTACTGTCATTCGATAAGTGGTGGGGGCCCCTGACAGCTGGTCGTCCGTCCACCATAAGAATCGTAAGACATTTCGATGTTCGGGTACTACTCGCATTTGGTGGAACATTGCCTCGATATCAGCCATGAGTGCCACCTTTCCTTGTCTGAATCTGATGAGGACTCCCATCAATTTGTTGTTAAGGTCTGGCCCTTGCATCACCTGGCTGTTCAACGACGTCGACTCATATTCGGCTGCACAATCAAACACTATTCTCACCTTTTCTGGCTTGTTAGGATTCAACACAGGGTGGTGTGGGAGATACCAGGTCTTCCCGGGTGCAACACTGAGTTCTTGACGTGGGACTCGCTCAGCATGTCCCTCGTCGATTAGACGTCTCATCTCTTCTTTATACTTCTGAGAGAGCCCTGGGTTCTTCAGGAGGCGTTTTCTCAATCCTGCCAATCGCTGCTCGGCAAGTTTCTTATTGTCTGGGAGTCCCGGTTCTTCATGGCGAAATGGGGTGGGAAGTTGGTAGTGTCCGTCCACTTGAGTAATTGATGTTGACCACTGCGTCAGGACTCTCTTGTCTTCGACAGAGATGGGATCATCGTTACTGTAGGCTGAATCGCATTCCCAGAAGCGCCTGACTTGTTTTTCCAGATTTGTCTCCGAATTTAGTGTTGCCATTCTGACAAAGTGGTTGATCACGGCATAATCACGGCTTGCCACTCCAAGCGGTCCATTTATAGTCCAACCTAGCAAGGTGCGTATTGCAAACGGCTCTCCGTCTTTCCCGGTTCTTACTTCTAATGGTGCTAGTGCTTGTGGTACGTCTAGACCTATCAGGAGATCCACTCTTTTCGGTGCTTGGCGTAGCGCAGTACCACGTAGGTGTTCCCACATGGTGACATCTTGGGTGTCTGCGACCGACAATTTCAGGGAAGACGGTAGATTCTCAACAATGATGACCTTGGGGATAATGATGGATCGGCTCTTTCTGACTCCTACGCTAGCCACTCTCACACTGATTTCTTCAGTGTTTACACTATTACTTTCTTTCATGATTGTGCCAATGGAGAGGGAAACTGGCCTTCTCTCTGCCTGCAGCCGGTAAGCTAGACTACGCGTGCAATATGATCGGTTGCTGCCTGAATCCAAGAGAGCTCCGGTGACTACTGCTTCTTTTGCCTCTAGGTTCTTTTCTTCCACCCTGACTTTCACTATTGGAAGTGCGACTCTGCTGGAACTTTGTAGTCACAACTCGCAATCGTTGGGTTCTTCACGCCGATCATCAATTCCATTGTTGGTTATGGTTTCCCTGACCCATTTATGCGGATTTCTTTTCCCCATGGTGCTTGTACCGGCTTCGACCTTCCATGATTTAGCTCTACTTAATGCCGATTCCGGTGGTGGCATAATAGCCTTACGTTGACTCATTCTAGGTCGCTTGTGGTCAGGTGCTATGTCTATTTGGTAGGCGCCCCCCTGTGGTAGCTCTCTTCACCCTTTGGAGGCTAGTCTGGTGTTCTCCCTTCTCAACTTCGCCCCATTGCACCTTGTCATTGCTCGTCAGAGCTCCCGTGAAGTGCAGGAGCCTCGAGTGTACTCCAGAGCAGCCATCTATACCACATACCATCTTCTGGCTGCACTCTGTTATCCGGTGATTATGACCCAGGCAGGCATAGCAGCGACGTTGTTCCCTTACAAGGGAAGTTCGCTTTCCTGTGGACATGCTGAGGAATGTCCGGCACATCTGAAGAAGGTGATCTCCACGGCATAGCGAGCAGCGTTCATCGTCCATTTCTCTGGTTGTCTTTATTCCTGATGTCACCAGACCCACAAGTCTCTTCCTCGACGAGGATTGACGTGAGTCTGCATAAATTCTGCTTGGTTCTTCCTGTCCTCGTCCCTTTGTGACCTCCTCCGCCTTGTCGACCATATCCATTGTGAATTCCAACATCCACTCGATCCCAGGAAGCTTTCCCCACTTCCTTTTGTATTTATGCGCCTTATCCACGTAGTCGTCCTTCATCTTTCCCTTGAACCTCTCAGCTAACGTGCTTATTGATTCATACGTGTCAATCTGACATAGTTCTCCCAAGACCTTCAAGTTCCTCACGCAATTCCCCAGTTCGTCTGAGAACTGTTGGAGGCCCTTTGCGTCACTTAGTCTCACAGTTGGACCTCGCAGGGCCTTCTTTATTAGCTGGCAAACGTAAGTGTGCTTATTGCCGTGACGTTTCTCTAATATGTCCAAAGCTTCCTTGTACCCGGCTTTGGGATCTTGAATTTGCAGACATCCCCGCAAAGCGTCCTTAGCGGGCCCAGCGTAAGCAGCGAGAAGTGTCTTTAATTTCAAGGTATCAGGTATCTGCGCCATCCCAACGTGTCGCTGAAAGACTCGCTTAAATTCCCAGTATTCATTACAAGTTCCTCCGCTGAACTTCGGCATTGGCCTTTGGGAGAACCTCATATTCTCTAGCAGTTCTCTCACCCAAACCTCGGACCTCGGTGGGTCGTCCCTTTTGTCTTTCATCAAAGGTAGTGGTTTCGGCGAACTAGCTTGATGTTCGGAAGTACTTCCGCGCTCCCCCTGGTGAGATGTTCCCGGCTCTGCGGTTAAGGTGAGCGCCGGGAGTCCTCTTGGAGTATATAACGTTTCTTCGTTAGTTTCAATTACAGAGGAAAGTTTAGTCTCTGGTGGTGATAACACCTTTCCACAATCTTCTGTGCTGCCCTTGCCTTGTAGTTGATTCATACCTTCGGTGACGTTGTGCATCATCGCTGTCATGTGAGCGAACATTTGCTGCATTTGTTGGTATTGCTCACATAATTGTCCTTCGATTCCTTTGACAGGTGGTTCCTTTCTCTTCTCAGGAGACAGGTTTACGGTAGACGGGTTTATCTCACGCTGCCTTGGCGAGGTGGGTGAGACATCGGTCTCTATGTCCACAGTGTCTCCTTGTTCTACGCCGGACATGCTCCCCACTTCTAACTTATTCTCTTTCCCGTCCATGACTGCCCGAACAGCAAGCATAATCTGTCTTGCTCGATAAGTGTATGCAGTAACGCTTAGTATCAGGTGCCCACGATCGCAGATATCACACAATTGGAATTGATGTCACACAGACACGAGTGATGTCACACACGAGCGAAGTCCCTCTAAACACGTGACGAGCAATATGCACGAGTGATGTCACACAAACACGACCACAGTGATGTCACACAGTCCCTCAAGCACGTGACGTGCAATACGCACGAGTGATGTCGCACAAACACGACCACAGTGATGTCATGCACGAGTGACGATGTCACACTAACATGGCCACAGTGATGTCACACACGAGCGATGTCCCTCAAACACGTGACTTGCAATACGCACGAGTGATGTCACACAAACACGACTACAGTGATGTCACACACCAGCTACGATGTCACACTAACACAACCACAGAGATCCACAATCAGTGTAGGGACTCGTTACACAACTGATGTCACAAACACTACTGCGGCGCCCTTACTTGCACAACGTTACGGCTTGTCACAACCTTTGTTGTTATTTCTTAATTACACACACACACATACTTATATATACATATAACCTGAATGTTGAACACACTTAACCCACAAATCCCTTTCATTTATGTATTTCTTCATGGTTCCTTATCATCATTGTTTGATATACTATGGTGTCACTGGTATAGGAAGATCAGCTGTTAGTTATAATCACTTGCGTGCGTGTCCGAGCGAACGCTAACTACCAGTCCACCCAGACCAAACATTACGACACTGTCCGGGTGTTCTGAAACCTTAACTCACTAGGTGCGCGGCCACCCTGTTCGGAAATGAACGCTCACAGCCCCGTATGCGCAGACCAAAGCTTTACGACACTGTCCAGATATTTAAGACACTTCACTCAAACACAGAACACTCGCTATCACTGTCTCGCTGCTGACGACGCACGTGATCCACCCACTGTGGGTGGGTGGGTGATCCACCCACTATGGGTGGGTGGGCGATCGACGAGCCTATGCTCTCCCACGCTGAACTCCGGCGTTGGTCTTTCGACAGTCCTCCCGTATACGTTTTGACTGTTAACGCTCATAGGAGCGTTATTGGTTTGTTGCTGGAGAAATAAACCCTCAACGTTGACGCGTACCATATAATTCGGTCAAAACCTGTTAAAGAACATTTCTCATATAACAAATGCTGTTATCTCAGGACACATATTATGAAATACAATCAATATACAGTACATAGCCTGTTAACATCTTAAATATAACTCGCATGTTATAACTATTGATACAGGAGACAATTGGTATAATATGATCAAATTACAGTACACAATTATACTTATTAAAGTTATTTAGAGTTTCTTAGCAGATTCTAATACTTCACGATCACTCACGTTTTAGGGTCTAGTGGTGTGAACCAACGTGTTATCTGTCCTGTAGAAATCAGTAGACTACCCTCGAGGGCAATCTCAGCCCGGAGGCGAGGGCCATATGTTTTCGTATTGAAACACGTCAGCAGATTGGTCAGCAAATTCGTTGTCAACACTATATCTCTTATCTCACCCCCTCTCTCTCTCTCGCCTAGTTTATCTTATTATGGTTATCCCTCTCTTTCTCTCTCTCTTCTAGCTTATCTTACTGTGGCGGTAACACTGCTTCTATTACATTTTCTTTTATTATGTTACAAGGCTGGCCTCACCCTTTTAAAGCAATGTCCTTATTTTGGTATTCATGATACTTTTAAAATGCACATACCCTCATGAATTCAACAAAAAAGGGGCTCTGAGTCACTCAAATTAAGGAGAGCGGGACCGATCAGCTGTTACTGCTGGGATGCGAATGTACTAAATCTCGTACCCGAGCCCTCACACACTCCCTGGCTGTAGTACATTCATGTGGAGGCAACTGTACATGTTACATTTATTTATTTTATTTTATTTATTTATTTATTTATTATTTTTTTTTTTTTTTTACCAAATTATGCAATTTTTACATTACCTTACCTAGGGCACAAAATATTCTTACACCGTCCCTGCTGGACTGTCCAATGTAATGATTAGTTGAGTTGAATAAGTTACTACTGTGGCTAATGATACAAACTAGTTTCTGTTTAAATTGAATTGTTGTTTTTACAGTACAGTATTTTTAAACTATGAATGGTGAATTTTTTTGCATGTATGCTTTATACTAAACTATTACTAAATTGTTGTTTTTACCATTTCTAAGTTCTTTGAAATATATTTTCAGGATGCTGAGAACCCTGAGCAACATGCTTTACATGTATGGCAGCATTATATTAAAGCTGCCAAAGCCAAACACATTGCCATTATTGCTCACAGTTATGGAGGCTGTGTCACCACTGCTCTGGTGAGTCATCAGGTAGTATTTACAACTCAGGGTAGGGCTTGTCTCCTCTTGATACAGTTTTAATTTAATTAGGAGTTGAGTAGCCATGTTTGAGTATTGTATAGTTTTTTGGTACTACAGTATATTTAAATGAGATGTGAATTTTTTTCCTCGCCATAATTATGAATTTCTGTGACTCTTTTTCATGTGACTTTATTCACTGTACATTCACCCAAAGTTTTAACCCCTCTCATAATATCCTGGATTCACCCTTAGATTAGCTTAATCTACCACAAGAATTTACTGTACTGTACTGTACTGGTTAGCTATTGTTCACTGTAAATGACTTACAGAAATGCATGATTTTTAACCCCTCAAAAGTATTATATGTATTTAGTTCAACTCCCTACTTTTTGCATGAAAATATAATCATAAAATCTCAAACTATACTTGAGTATATGCAGTATGCAACAAATTACTTAAGTATAATGTGCAAATTGTGGGCCTCCCCTGTGTATCAAAATGATTTGTGTGAAATCTTCCCTCGATAATCTCATTGCGACTGACACACAAAAAGGATAAGACCTTGTAAAGACTATGTATTAAGTAATAATGTTCTAATCAGTCTTTGTTCATTACTTTTTCTTTGAATTCAATAAAAGTCTGAGTTCTCTTTTAATGTGCTCCTATAGTTTCAACATAAGAAGAAAGAATTCAAGAAGCGAGTGTTTGCAGTAGCCATGACAGACTCGGTGCACTTCTTACCCAGTTCTGATGCTTTCACAGAATTAGTTAAAGTAAGTACTGTACAAAGTTGATCCTCCTTGGAAATTATTGAGAGTTGAACTATGTTTTGCTGATTGGTGTCCCAGTGTCTAGGTTGACCTTAGTGTTAAATGATAAGATGGTGATAAGGATGCATCTGACTTGTTCAGATGTCTGTGAGTATTTCAGTGTCTGTTAGTTGGCGTGTAAGCTGTGACTGGTCATGGTAATACCCTGTAACCCAATACAGGTAGGCTAGTAAAAATTTTTTTTCATAATATCAAAGGTTAGATGTTTAAGTGAGAGAGCTCAGTAATGTTTGTCAATAATTACATTAGTTTTGGTCAAATCAGGTCATGTTTGTGGTTCATTATGTATGTTTTTTTGTGTGTGTGTGTGTGTGTGTTGATGAAGGAATGTTGTGAGAAGCGTAGTACACATGCTCATGAGTGAGGTAACAGTTACTAGTAAACACAGGTGATTTCAGCAGAATTAGGCAATGGTTTAAGGGTTATGTTAAGCAATGGCCTATAGCAACTGCTGTTCCCATGAGTTGTGTAGATTGGAAAGTTGTGTGAACCTGACTGCCAGTTAAGTTAAGATCTCAATTATAATTTTGATGTTATTTTTATGGTTTGGCTGAAGCAGTGATGGTGTACTCTTTGTTATCTGTTATCATTCACAGTAGATGTTTTGTTTTCCAGCCCAAACAATGTGCTTGCCTACCTTAAATCTTATCAAGTATTATGAATATGTTACAGATATCCTGCAACTGGGTCTGCAGCCAAAAGCCACTGGACACACCCGTTGGCACACATTCGAGGGATATCAAAAGGGTGTCTTCAGGTAATTATTAAGATTGAGGTTTATTTATAATATTCTATTTTGATTGATTGTTGTGAAAATAGACATGGAATGAAGTAATGCTCAAATTCAAGTAAACACGGGGACTTGTTCAGGTATACTCCGGAGCCTGTACATGCTCAGTGCTTTACTTGCCAACAGTTCATAAGCTGACGAGGGGCAAAGCAGATAATTAAGTGTATAAGTAAGTAATACTACCACTACTAATATTAATAATAATATTTACTAAGTAAAATCATTGTACTAGTTTATGATTGGTCTGGCATGTGTACTGTATAGGCAATGCAGTTAGAGTGCAAAAATTCCAATTTACAGTACCTAGACAATACAGGTATAAAACTGTGGTAAACTGTAGGGCAATTTGATCAAAGATAGCCCTCAAAGCCATCAGATGTTTATTTCCAGTTTGGTCCTTTGTTCAGGCTGCTACTAATCAGCACAGTAATAGTAATATCTCTGTTAGCCGGAATCCCTCAAACCCGGAACTCTCCGATATCTGGAATTGAAATTTTCCGAGGGGCACATTTTCTGGAAACTTCAGAGAAAATTTTCCCGATACCCAGAAAATTCTGGAAAATTCCAGGGATGAGGGATATTTTTCTGGGTTCGAGAGATGAAGTAATGGGCAATTTCTGAAACTAACGAGAAAATTTTTCCATTACCCGGAAAATTCCAGGGATGAGGGATTTTTTCCGGCTTTGAGCGAGTCGTCTCGCTACCCAGAAATCTCTCATTCCAGAAGTGCTCTGCACCAATTGTTCCAGCTAACGAGGATATCACTGTATATATATATATACAAGAATAAAAGTGAAAATTTGTTGATAAACATAACAAGCATTACCCTTCATGCTTGCATTATATGGTTAATAATTTAAGAATCCCCTCTCCTCTAATGTTGTGTTTTAGCTTTGAAGTGTTTAATAACATTGCAGTACTGATTTTAATGTGGTTAGGTAATTTGTTCCAGTCCATTATAGCTGTAGAGAAGGAGCCATTTTTTGCTTGACCGGTGACACCAGGTACCTTAAAATTCAGTTCACTTCTTCTAGTGCCCTGCCGATTCATATCCCCAGTCCTTACAAAGCTTGTTGTTAGATACTTGGGGCAAATTCTGTTGAAAACCTTAACAGTATGACCAGCCTCAACTACTTTATTATACCTGCCACACTTAACATGTGCAGTGATTGTAGAACTTTGTGACTAATGTGATCTCTTGGGTTCATGTCAGGATTAACCTCATATTTTGCTTTGAATAATTTACAGCTTGGCTTTTAGATTTTTTTTGAAGGCAGAGTACCATGATGAGCAGGAAATGTCCAAGTGACATTGTATAAGCACCAAACAAAGTGTCTTTCTGTCATCACCGAAGAGGCATTTGGAATTTCTATAAAGAAATTTTATCCTAGCAAAACTTTTATTTACTATTTTATCTACAATAATTCTCAATTTAAGCGAGAATAAAGAATTACAGTAGAAGTCCAAAAATCCGGACTGCTTGGGGATTGGGTCGGTCCGGATTTTCGGATTTTCCGGATTCTCAGGCAGTACTTTTAAAATTAAAATTTATGGAGGAATAAAGAAGAGATGAACAGGTACATTTTGATAGTTTATTCATTAGCAAATAAAGCATGCTTCATTTATCAAAACGAGCAGTTTTAAAGAAAAATACAGTCAACACTAGACAAAAATGTAAACAAACTGTCTAATACCATGACGAGTCTTGAAATTCCTAAGCCATCCATCACTAAATGCGCACTCTGATTCAATGTTCATTTGCTCCTTAAAACACTTTGCTTTGGCAATAAGCATCGGCCCAGAAATTGCCATACCTTCTGATCGTTTTAACAAAAACCATTCGTGCAACACTTCATCAAGATTTTCTAATTTGGGCCAATGTAAACTTTTTCTTTCAGCAATTTTAATGTAAGGCTCAGAAGAAGCTGTGAATTCTAGAATTTTATTCTTTGCCTTTTTTATATCATAAATTGTAGACTTTCCAATGTTGTATGTTTCCATTAGAACAGCATTGCTCACATTACATTCTAGTTTCTTAATTATTTCAAGTTTGTCACTCAATTTCAATGTGTTCTTCTTTCTCTTCACACAACAAAGTTTATCTAGTTTAGGGGCCATTATTATGGGCTTGTACTCTGTACATGGAAAGAGTAGGACTCAAAATTACATATGTTGTCAGTTTGATTGCTTGTTTTAAAGTGGCGATCGTGTGGTCGTTTGTTGTCGCTGTGCAGCTGTGGCATTCACGCATGCACACATACACACAAAAGATTTATAGTGCCTCAAATTTTACATTTCAGTTCAAGCTAATTACAAAACTAACAAAATTAGCTACCTATAATTTACAATTACTTTTATTATTAGAATTATGTAAATTTATTTTTTAAAGCAACTCCATTCATTCACATAACCCACAAAAGCCCGCTAAATTTAAAAAGTTTGAGTCTTCGAAAAGTCCGGATTCTCGGGTGGTACGGATTCCTGGCATCCTGATTTTTGGACTTTTACTGTAGTAGGAGGTACAATTGAGATAGGTTCTTTCCCACATAGGATATGGAATTTTTTTTTTTCTTCGGAGTTTTCTTTTTGATCCATATAATATTGCTTCTGTATTTCCAAGATGTAGGGATGATTTATTGTCTATGAGCCATTGTTTGCATGCCTCTAGTTCAGATGATAACTTTTTAGCTATATCATATTGATCTCCACCTGACACTAAAGGTGTCATCAACATACAAGAAAAGTTTAAAAGTAACACTAATGGGCATGTCATTTACATAGTAAAGGAGGAGCAATGGGCCTGAGATACTCCCTTGTGAGTCTCCACAGGCTGTCAACCAGGGTATTGTTTGCAATGACTATTGGGTATTTGTTTTTTGTTGTAAAGATTAAAACCAGTCAACAGATCCTATGCCAAGAACCTGAAGTTTTTCACATACTAGAAGTATATATGTGTTGAAAGCTTTTTATAAGTCTAACATAACTATACCTGTGTTATTTCCATTGGCCATTTGAGTTCCAATATGATCAAAGAGATGGATAAAGCTGGTTTCAGTTGAGTGAGAGCCCCGAAAGCTTGACTAGTAACCGTACAGAATATTATAATCCACCTGAACATACACTGCTTCCTCCAGAAGTTTAGTTACAATACACAGGATACTAACTGAACTGTTTACCTGCAACAGACCTGTCGATTTTCTTACATATAGGTGTTACTCTGTCAAACATATGTTTTTCTGGTACAGTGTTGGTGATAATGGAAAGTTTAATTAAATGTGTTACTGGTTTTTTAATACAGTAGCATAACCTCTTAAAAACCTGGCTGGGATGTTATCAATACCTGTGCTCTTTTAGGGTCCAGTTTATTTAGTTCTTTTAGTATGAAGTCCTCTGTCACATTGTGGAGTTCAAGACTGTTTGAAGTGGTTCTATCTTTCTATAGTAGGATTTAAAAGTCGCTGATCATACATTGTATTTGTTTGAGGCTACCGGCAGCTTGCTCACTAAAATTGATGCTACTGTTGTTTACAACTAAAGATGCAATGTGAAAGAACTCTTAATCGATGTTTCGGTGATTGACCCTAGAGGCTTCAATCAGAGTACTGTACCATCCTCATATCTGAGGGTTGGCAACCACAGTTCTCCACTCTAAACATTCTTGGTCTGTGTTTACCAATCCCTCAAGGTTTTGTATCTCTCTGGAGACCAAGTTTTTAATTTCACTCATCTATCCCAGTCTCTGCCTTCCCCTGGCCCTCCTAAAGGGTTAACAACTTTTAAAATATATTTATAGTTTCACTCTTAATATTTTTGCCAGTCAATAGATTTATGTATCTTTAGGGTGCCGTTTTTATGTATTTTCAAGATAGAATCAAGCTTTGGATTGATTTAAACCTGTTACTGTCCAATCTGAAGAGGAAAAACTTTTTGGCATAAATACAAAACACGGTGCTTCACTGAATTTTTAAAGATTTTTCCTGTACTTTGCTCAAAATTTCAATATGCATTGGGGTATGCTATAACGAACGGATTCTACTACGAATATTCCTATAACGAACGGTTTTACCTATAAAATTGAGAATGCTATAACGAACGAAACTCCTACAATGAACGTGGATGAATACGGGACTATTTCGTCCTGCGCATGAATATCGTTGTACCGCGGCTCATAGCAAGAGCGTCAGGCACCATATTGGTTCATTGTGTAATCAGTGCACCACTGAACTTGTTGAAATTTCGTCTTTTGATGTAGAAATTAGTGTTATTTTTATAACTATTTTGTTATACAAGTGTACAATTGTAACATTGAATCGTCAAAAGCGAGTGAGAAAGTTAATAACTGTTGAAACTAAGAAAGAAATTATAAATAAACAGACAAAGTGCCTGTAAGACAATCTCCAAAGAGGGCTAGGAAGGATGACTCCTCGCCTTCCACCTCTTCTCCATAATTCTCTCCTCCCCCCTCCTCCTCTGCCTCCTGTCCTGCATGCTGAACAAGACTAAGGTAAGATAAAGTACCGTATTTTTTTTAATTTTCACAGAAATTTTTCAGTGTTACTGTAAGTGGTTGTATTTGGGGGCCTGGAACGGATCAATCCTATAACGAACAAATGCTATACCGAACATGGTTCTAGAACCAATTAGATTCGTTATAGCATACCCCACTGTACCAGTAAGCACTTTTGGACATGCAGATTAAAGATACTAGTTAAAAAGCTAATAATTAGCCAAACTGGTGTCAAATAATATTTAATTCCATCTCGCCTCTTTTGGGCCCCCCAGAGGCCTGGACCTTGAAGATTTTGTTGCTCTCTTTCGTGGTTGGCCTGCTAGTACTTTGTCAAGGACAAAGTTGGGCCTTTAAAGTCAGGGAAGGGAGAAGTGATAAATGGCAGTGGAGAAATAAGCAAAGCATTGAACAGCTACTTCTTATCAGTTTTCACAGAAGAAATTCGCGAGGAAATTCC